CACGCGAACATATTTTTTGAGCCGAAATTATAAACGAGCCGAACACGAGCTGAGCATGGCTCGGTCGTGTTCGGCTCGTTTACACCCCTACGCAGAAATCACACACGGGGCTGGGCATTTTAATATGATTGATTTTGAATTTTAAAATGATTTGGAAACTTGAGCTTTCAAAATTTAGGCTCTTAGGATTTAAAATATCGGAACCTGAACTTTTAAATATTTAGGCTCTTAAGATTTTAAAAATTTTGAAGTTTTAGGCATTTAAAATATAAACTTTTGGAGCTTAAAATTATTAAAAATTGGACATTAAAATTTAAGCTTAGAAGATTTAAAAAATATTTTGAAATTCCGCTATTCAGACTAAGACTCCTAGAGCTTGGAAATCAATTCAAAATTGATTTTTTTTTTTAATTTAGGCTCCTAGGGGGCGAAGAATAATTCAAATGTGGAGCTTTCTTAATATTTGAAATTAATCGTCAGTCATTGGATTCACAACATATTTACAAGTGAATAGAATGCGGTATTTTATAAAGCTTAGAGTGAACCTCTACATGCATCAATATATTCATTCAAATAAGGTAAATTTATATAAATTCAAGTCTTACATGTGATTCAATTCATGATTTAAAATTATGTAAATTGTCTTGAGATATGTAAAGCCGTCTAAAATAGTCAAATATGTGAAATTTAAATTTTTGCATGTGCTCCAACTAATATGTTGAATGATTAACTACTGGGTTCGAAAATGTTGCATGATTGATCGGGCATTCTTTTCTATAGGATATGGTTGTAAGGCCCACTTAACTAGTCTGATTCTCCTCCTTGTCATAATGACTGTAGCTGATGAGTTTAGTAATTTTGAAATAAACATTTAAATTCTAAAGTTAAGAATTTGTAAGCCCAAATCGCCAAGTCTGATTCTTCTTGTAAGGACAGGAGGCGACATGGCTTATACCCTAAAAAGATGAAATTAATTTTTCCCTTCAAATATAAAATTTTAAAGTGCTTAACATTCTGTTAATGGTCGTGTTGATTGAAAATTTCGACCAGAGGAGTCAATCTTTTAAATTAGAATTTTCAAAATAATAAATTCAAGCTAAAATTCAACCACTTAAAAGCTAAAAGCAAAAAAAAAGTATATCCACCCTCCGCAATAGTTTGTCGAGGGTGTAAATTTTTGCTTGACTTCAACTTACAATAAGTGAATGTCATATCAACTGTATCTCTATATTCATAATCAAAGTAATTGCATGCCAGCAACAGTTTGTCGAGGGTGTAAATTTTTGTTTGACTTCAACTCACAATAAGTGAATGTCATATCAATCGTATCTCTATATTCATAATTAAAGGAATTGCATATCAGTAAGGACGTGATCTGGTCCTCTGTTCACATAGTTTCATCACTAAATAACACCACAAAGTAGTGATGACGATCAGAGCTCTTTGACCAGGTGGCTGTTCCCAAATGACATCATTATATTATGGTCATGGCCACAATCTATATGTTCCTTGATGGTTTTCTATCCTTTGAGTGTGAAACATAAGGGTACAAGTGATTGACACAGCCTTTCATCAGCTAATGTCGACTTAAATTTGTCTCTCTAAATAAATATCCACATCAGATCTATAAGGATAACTTGGAAGACGCAACTCATGATTGTTAGCAAGGATTTTTCAGTCAGGTTGGGTCGACTACGTGTTTTAAGTAAGTAGATCAGAGATCACGACAACACGGGATGACGGAGCTGTGGGATCTTGATCAGGTTTTGTCTTCATTTCCCCACAATCTATTTTAAATTTCAAATGATATATTTTTCAATTTAAAATATTATATGTTTGTTGCTATTATATGTTGAATATTCAATTATTAATGACTAGCTTTAATTGAAAGTGTTCTTCCAATATCTGGAGGGTTAATTAATTGTCGGGGTTTGAGGCTACGGGAAACCTCGAACCCCAAACCAAAAAGTTCACGCTAAATGAGGGCGAAATCTCTGGGTAGTTTCTTATCTATAATCCAATCCGCGTTCTAAAAATTTGACCCTCCAATGCTTTTTTCAACAAATGAAAAATAAAAAATATATATATGTAGAGAGAGTCCAAGGTAGTGGTCGGAATTTTCGGAGCTCACATAGAGATATAAGAGAGGTTATAAGAGGAAATGGTGTATGATGGCTGATATTAAGAGTCTATTTGATAAAGTTTTCTTCCTATTTTGAGTTTCAAACTGTCATCATAGTTCTTTTTGAAGAATTACTTTCTTGTTGTTTTTTGAAAAATTTTATGATGAGAAGTTATTTTTTAGAACGATTAATTAAGTTGTGTGATTTCATTTGAAAAAAAATAAATACTTATAATTCACACCACAGTTTTCTAAGAAAATTTCTTCACCACAACTTTACAATCATCATAAAAAGATTCAGCCGTCTCAAATGCACTTTAAGTGTATGTATGGGGCAACATTCTACGTTTGGCTACTAATTTATTATTATTTTTTTTAAATTTCTAGGTGGGAAGCTGATTTTGAAAACCATATCTTTTAGAGTATGTGATTAATGTAAGAAAATTGCTGATTTTTTCAAAAAAGCGACTATGTATAACTCCTATAGCAGCTTTCAAAGAAATGTTTTCCCTCCAACAATTTTACAATTACTTAAATGTTTTCCTAACAACACTGTAATTGTCGGGGTCCCAAGCCTCAGAAGTAAAAAGTGGAGGGTTGCGTTAGGTAGTCGACAACCAACGCAAAATTTGTCGAAAAATCATAACTTGAATTTTTTTTATCATTGTGTAAATGCTAGGGCGTCCCCTAGAAGCGACGCGATGTATGATCTGAATACAATGAAAAGTGTTCGAAGGTCGGTGTCTGGGTGTAGTGTCAAATATGCAAGTGTTCTCACATTACAGATGAATGCGGGTAAAGAAGTTAGTCCATGAAACTAATATTAGGATAGGATCTTGAAATATATATACTCCCATGGATAAACTAATATTACTAAACTCTTTAATATTATTTTAAAAACTAAAAAGATGTCTGAGGAGTGGAGGAAGAGTATTTTGGTCTTCATTTTTAAGAATAAAAGGGACGCTCAAGTGTGTGCAAATTATAGAGGAATTAAGTTGATATGTCATACTTTAAAATTATGGGAGAGGGTAATTGAACATAGGTTAAGACGTATTACAAAGATTTCTCATAATCATTTTGGATATATGTCGGGCAGCCCTACTATGGAAGCCGTGCATATATTGAGAGGTTTGATGGAGAAGTTTAAAGAGAATAAGGAGGATCTACATATGATTTTTATTGATTTAGAAAAAGCTTACGATATGGCTCCAAGAGATATCCTTTGGAGAGTTCAAGAGAAGAAAGGTGTTGATATGACTTATATTCAAGTTATTAAAGTTATGTATACTAGAGCTGTTACTTGTGTTCGAACAAAAGAAGGATTGAACAAATATTTTCCTTTACATCAGGGATCCCATCAGGGATCCGCTTTAAGCCCATATCTTTTGCTTTAGTTATGGATGCTCTTACTGGACATTTACTGGAGGATGTACCTTGGTGTAAGCTTTCCCCTGATGATATCCTTCTGGTGGATAAGGCTAAAGAGAAAGCTCCGTAAAAAACTTGAATTATGGAGGTCTATATTGGAGTCCTAAAACTGAATACATGGAATGTAATTTTAGTAGTAGTAGCTCTACTGACAGAGTTGTAACTGTGCACTTTAGATATCTCGGGTCTATTGTTCAAAGTGATGGTGATATAGATGGGAATATAGAGAATGTTATTAGTAGAATTCAAGTTTGTTGGTTGAAGTGGAGGAATGCTTCGGGCCTATTGTGTGATAGAAAAGTACCACTTAAACTGAAAGGAAATTTTTATAAGATGGTGGTGTGACCTGCAATGCTCTGTAGCACTGAATGTTGGCCTTTGAAAGAGAAGCATAAAACTAAGTTAAGTGTTGTCGAGATGAGAATGCTTAGGTGGATGAGTGGCTTTATACTTTGAGACAAAATGTGAAATGAATATCTCTGTGACAGGGTTGGTGTAGCTCAAGTGGTGGACAAAATTAGAGAGAGACGTCTTAGATAGTTTGGTCACATTAAACGTCGACATTTTGATGATCAGATTATAACAATAGATATTTTAGATTCGACTTATATTAAGAAAGACAGAGGTAGACCTAGAAAGACTTAGACATATTGTATAAAAAAAATGATCTTAATTTATTAGAATTAAATGAAAATATGACACTCAATAGGACCCAATGGAGAATAAGGATTCATGTAGCCGACCCCACTTAGTGGGATAAAGGTTTGTTATTATTGTTGTTTAATAAAATGCTAAAGCTACTCTAAATGAACCATGCGTTAGTAACATAAGCTCTAGAGGTTTATTTTCTCCTTTGAGTTCTTTTCTTTTTTTCAATCCTCAAACTTTCATCTTTTTATTGACAATTATAGGGTGACTTTACCTCGATCTAACACTATGGGAGATGCTAAATTATAAACCTTACGAGTTTTAAAATTATTAACTTTCGGAACTCTTACAATAATCATATACCAAAACCAAATAGTCTTAAACTACAATTTATAGTGTTATAATCAGATTTTTTCGAGTGTACTCCTTGAAACATTAATGACACTAACTGTTATTCATAGCCTTTGTAACTATTGCAATGTTGATTAAATTTTTACATTTTCATCACTCATAAACAACGTAGTATATCTCTTTTTTGGCTTTCTTTAACTTGCAGCCTCCTAAGTTCTGCTTTTATGATGCAACGAAACCAATATATACATCACGAAGAAATTTACCTCCAACAACAGTTGACAATAGCAAGGTAAGTACTTTATTTTTGTCGTGTGATTAAAATATGCATATCATATGCTACTCTTTATGTCAGTATTATTTTTCCAAAGTAAGCATATGAGTTCAAATTAAGTTTTTTTATTGGATATTTTTAAAGTACCCTCATACTTGTTATTTTATTATTCTATATTTTCTATGTCAACATCTGACAATTTTTCTCCAGCTACATGATTTCACTTTCTCTCTTGACCTATTGATTATGGTCAAGTAACATAGAGACCATCCCCTATGTGCCTCAAAGAGAAGATCAAATCAAGAATTAAAATGTCTTTTTAGCATCTTTGGCATCCTCTCTTCTTATTGACTTTGAGATGGTTGCCTCTCTGTTGTGTTACTCTTTGATTCATGCTTCTAGGTGCTTGGGCTTTTGGTTTGCCTCCAACAAAAAGGTGTATGTGTTATTCTCATGTTACCAGAAAACACTACAATTTCATGGATGCGATATTTTTTGAAAATCAATCCTTCTACCATGCTCAATAGGAGAGTCCAAATGAATATCAATTTTGGGATGCACTTGATGACACCTATACGGCCTCACCACTTACTCCACCTGCCCTCCTATCCTGGTTGAGAATGTCCAACCAACCCAACCTGACGTCCATAATTTATGTGTGTATACATGGAGAAGAAAAACTTTGAGCAGGTGGAAGACAACTTGCAAGGATGGAATTGCTCAAACCAAAACCTGAGTTTGTATTCATCTGAAATTTTGGGTCAGGAAGAGCCTAGTACTGATGAGTTATTCCCTTGTCTGATGCAAAGAGTGTTTGTAGCTTATAGGACGATATCCTCATCCTACAAAACTTTTGTTTCTAACCTTATCGTGTGTAGATTTCTAAATCCATTCATGAAGCTCTTGAAAAGTCATAATAAAGGAAAGCAATTGAAGGGGAGATTCAAGCACTGAAGCATAATGGCACATGGATTCAGACTAAACTCCCTCAGGTTAAAAAACCAATTAGATTCAAATGGATGTTCTATATCAAATACAAAATTGATGGGGTATTGAGATTCAAAGTCTGACTTGTTACAAAAGATTTCACTCAGGCCAATGGGATTGCATATTATGAGTCATTCACAACAATTGTCAAATTAACATTATCAAAGTTCTCCTTTCAGTAGCAGTTAAGAAGGAATTGGAACTGCATCAACTTGATATAAAAATGCCTTCTTGAACGAGGATTTGGAAGAAGTATATATTTAGATACCCCCATGGCTTGAGAATGATTCCAACAAATTCTTAGTATGCAAACTCAAGAAGTCTCTTTATGAGCTTAAGCAATCATTAAGAACATGGTTTGAAATGGGTTTTGCTAAAACTATGAGATCTAATGGATATTCTCGAAGGTCAACCTGATCATACCCTGTTCATAAAATATACTTGGAGAGATAAGATTGTTGCACTGATAATATATGTGAATGATATGATTTTTACTGTTAAGGATGAAAGGAGATTTTCAACATCAAAGAAGTGCTTGTCATTGAGTTTGAAATCAATAACCTAGAGCTATGAGATATTTTCTAGGTATGGAGATAGCAAGGTTCAAGAAAGGTATCATTATATCACAGAGGAAACATATCTTATATCTACTAAAGAACATAATGACGATTGGATGCAAGCATGTTGATACCAATAGATCCCAACAAGAAGTTTATAATAGAGAAGAAGAATGTGCATCTTTGGATAAAAGAAGATATCAAAGATTGGTAGAAAGACTCATCCACTTATCACATGCGAGGCTAGATATTTTATATTTTGTCAGCATTGTGAGCCAACACATGAATAACCCAAATGAATAGCATTTGGAAATAGTGTACAAGATGCTCAGATTTCTTAAGAAAACACCTAATGTGCATCTTTGGATAAAGGAAGATATCTAAGATTGATAAAAAGACTCTTCTATTTGTCACATACGAGGCTAGATATTTTATATTTTGTCAGCATTGTAAGCCAACGCGTGAATAATTCAAATTAATAGCATTTGGAAATGGTGTACAAGATTCTCAAGTTTCTCAAGAAGACACCTTGTTAGGGATTAATTTTTTGAGAAAATCAGAAACAAAGAAGCAGACATCGATACTAATGCAAGTTGGGTTGGGGAACTCACTAACAGAAGATCCACCACAGGTTGTTACTCCTATGTATGGAGAAATCCGGTTACATGGAGTTGTAAGAGGAAAATTGTTGTTTCTGGAAGCAATATTGAAGTAGAGTATACAACACTCGCCTCAAGAGTATCTGGATTTATAAATAATTAAAGGAATTAGGGTGCGCCTCTGATAAGCCTATACAAATGTTTTGTGACATTCAAGCAACCATCGGTATTGCCAAGAATCCAATGTATCATGACATGACCAAACATGTTGAAATTGATGGTCACTTTATTTCTGAAAATGTTAATGATGGAGTTATACAACTAAGCTACATTCTAAGGCACCAACAAATTGTTAATGTCTTCACCAAAGTTCTTCCTTTAAGCATGTTCTTAGAACTTGGCCTCTACAACATCTACGACCCAAGTTAAGGGGGAGCGTGGAAAGCTGAGAAGTTCAATTCTTCCATGGTGGGTCTTCTGGCTGCTTCACAAAATCATGAAAAGATTTGATTGGGGATATCTTTGGAAATAGTTTTGCTAGTTTTATTTTCTTTCTAATTTAGACTAGATATATTTGGTAAGTTTGTGAATTAGGAGGGATTGCTTTCTTTATATGCATGTACCCTACATGTGAATATTTTAAAAAAGTATTTTTTTTGTAATAATATATATATATGTATATATATGTATATGTATATGTATATATATGTATATGTATATGCATATGTATGTATATGTATATGTATGTATATGTATATATATATATGTATGTATGTATGTATATGTATGTATGTATGTATATGTATGTATGTATGTATATGTATGTATGTATGTATATGTATGTATGTATGTATATGTATGTATGTATGTATGTGTATGTATGTATGTATGTATGTATATGTATGTATGTATGTATATGTATGTATGTATGTATGTGTATATATATATATATATATATATACACACACACACACACATAAATGTTGAAAATTGAATGGAAGCCCCTCTTCAGTTGTAACTTAAAGACTCATATTCCTTTCGACACAATCGAACAAAACAGACGAGAGAACACGGGAGGGATCCAGAGAGAAGAGACTGTTGTGCCCTAGCCAAGGAGAAATCGAAGAAGAGGAAGGAAAGGGCAGCAGGTGGCTCACGTACGGTGTCGTTTGACTGCAATATGGGAATTGGAAGAAGGAATTGAGAAATTTCAGCCTGAGGAAGAACATATCGATAGAGATTTTGATGTGGTTGCTCGCATGAGGAGTCGACGTTATTATTGGTTGTGAGTCTGTCTAAGATTGACAAGCCGACATCGCAAATGTGAAGAGAAGACGCGGGACGAGCACGCAACACCACTTGTTGGAGGAAGAACCGAGCAGCTTGTGCAAGGAAGAAGTCACGTACTTGCAGAGCAAGGAGATCGATGCCCTAGCATGGCAAAGCCCCTATACTCAAAGGAAGAAAAAGGAGAAGACTTGGTGTGCTCGCAGAAGAGGTCAATGGGCTTGCTTGCAAGAATGAGGGAGCTCGCGCAAGAGTTAGGGCGACCGAGAGTTTATTAAGCTAAGAGTATAACTATGATGATTTTTTACAAACTATCTATAAAAACTTTATGTAAGGGCATATGGCCCTTTCAAAATACTTACAAAATCCATCTAACATATGTTTTAGATTGTAGCAAAATAAGTAAATGGAATTAATGTGGGGTCCTAAGAAGAAAATTAGTGAACAAATAGGCGTTGAGGCTAGAGCTTTTACAAGGGTAGTTGTGCAAATTAGAACTAAAATCATATGTAACACTCATTAAGAATAATTGAAGAAAAACGATTCATAAAATCAATCCCAAATATACGGGGTAATGGTATACACAAGTCATTTTTAAAAGTTTTTTATTGTATATCCTGAATATTCTTCCAAAATTCTATAAGATAATTTGCTCTATTCAAGCTATAGAGATTATCTTATAGGTTTTGAATATCAATGGAATTTTGTTATTTGGGTGATCAAATCATTAAAAGGAGTGAATGTTTTAGATATCTCTGGTCTCTTGTTTAAAGTGATGGTGATACAGACGGGGTGGTGTTATTAGCAGAATTCAAGTTGGTTGGTTGAAGTGGAGGAATGCATCAGGCATATTGTGTGATAAAAAAAAGTATCGCTTAGACTTGAAGAAAAATTTTATAAGATGGTCGTGAGACTTGCAATGCTTTATGGCAATGCTAGGTGGATGAGTGGCATGAAACTAAGCTAAGTGTTATTGAGATGAGAATGCTAGGTGGATGAGTGGCTTTACACTTGGAGAAAATGTGAAACGAATATATTCATGAAAGGGTTGGTGTAGCTCCCGTGGCGGACAAGATTAGAGAGAGTCATCTTATATGGTTTGGTCACAATAAACGTCGACCATTTGATGCTCTGTTTAGAAGAGTAGATGTCTTAGATTTGACTTATGTTAAGATAGGTAGAGGTGGACCTAAAAAAACTCTGGAATGTTGAATAAAAAATGGTCTTAATTTACTAGAATTAAATGAAATGTGACGCTAAATAGGACACAATGGAGAAAATATGTTGTGTAGCTGACCCCATTTAGTGAGATAAATGCTTCTTTTTGTTGTTGTTGTTGTTGTGCGGTTCCAAAACATATGTTTTTCTTTCTATCTCATAGTTTTTTCTCCCTGATAGTTAAGATATTGTTTAATTCTTTTTCTCCTCTTAACCTGATGATCAAAATACATGCTTTTCAGATTGTTGATTCTATTGTATCCCATGGAAGTTTCTTGAGCAATTGCTTGATAGAACACAGTGTGGTCGGTATCCGATCCAGGATAAACAGTAATGTTCACTTGAAGGTAAGAATTATAATGAAGAAAAATTGGATTATGATAATTATTTTTTGATCACGGTCAAGTCTCAAAGTCATCATATTTATTTCTAGATGAACTTTGCAATATAATTTTTATCGTTTGTTTATGTTACTCATTTCAAAGCAAATCTAACGGACTTGAGATTTATAATGATCAAATTTTGATGAGTATATATTGACCCAAAAAATTTTCATTCTAATGATAACTATATATTCAAGGAAGCCATACATTCATACCGCGTAATTCCTATGTATTTACATATCTAACACCTAAACTTCAATTTTTACATATACCCATGCATGAAAAAGTGTAATTCAATTCTAAAAGATGAAATAGTGGTATTTTTGATATAATATGAAAGATTGGGCGATATTAATGTACAAAAGCAAAGTTTATGTGCTTGATATGTAAGGAATTGGGTAGTATGAATGTAAATGTCTCTACTTATATTTTCTATCTTGTGTACCTTATATATATGCCACATTATCTATGCATGAACAAGGAGTATTTCACTTCTTAAAAGTTAAAATGACTGTACTTTTGATGTAATATGAAAGATTTTGGTGGCATAAATGTAAACAAGTAAAAGTTTAGGGGTTAGATGTGTAAGGAATTGTGCGGTATGTATGTATGCCCCAAAATTTAAAGGATCGACTCATTACTTATATCTTCCATTTTTTGTACTTTAAAACCTTTGGGGCATTATTTATGCAGAATACCGTTATGCTCGGCGCCGACTTCTATGAAACTGAAGCAGAAATAGCAGCATTGCTTGTTGAAGGAAGAGTTCCTATTGGAATAGGAGAGAACACTAAGATCAAGTGAGAACTATTAAATTTCTAAACACACTCTTAACCATATACTTTTAAGCACAACATCAAAGGCTTGTTTGTTTGTGTTGATAATTTGCAGGGATTGCATCATAGATAAAAATGCAAGAATCGGAAAGAATGTGATGATTTCCAACTCCGAGGTATGACTTCTCTTCGCCGGAAAAGTTGCGTTTTGGAACGACTTAACCAAAATTTTTTTGGAAGATTTACATACATATGACTCAATTTATATGTATTTACATATCTAACATCTAAACTTCATTTCTTACATATGTCACCTTACCCATGCATGAAAAGGTATATTTTACTTTTTAAAAGTTAAAATGTTGGTATTTTTGATGTGATATGAAATATTTAGGTGGTATAAATGTAAAAGCTATGTTTAGAAGTTAGATTTGTAAATACAAATAAATTGGTTGGTATTTATGTAAATGCCCCGCCCCAATTTTTTATTAGGATGGGCTCTAAACTCATTAGATTAGCAATTTAAGGGTGTAACTGAACCAAACTAACTCATGAGTTGGCTTGGGCTTGGCTTGATAAGTGGCTCGTGAGTTAAGCTAGTTAAACTCAAGCCAACCCTGACTCAGACTCATTAGCTTATAAGCCAGCTCGTTTAAAAAATAGATTAATATAAAATATTCTCAAAACGTATTAAATTTCAAGACTGTATTAAATGATATTTTATATTTTATGTCAATTCATTTCTCATCATTTATCTCTTAATTGCTCATTATATTTGTCAATTTATTATAACACTAGTTGACTAGCTTGAATTAATTTTGATTTTCCTCTTTCATAATAAACAAGCCAACTCGAACTCTTAGAATTAAAAGCTTGAGCTCGAGCTTGAATTCAATTAATTAATCCTACTCAAGCTTGGGCTGAGGATGGCTCCAGCTCGACTTGGCTCATTTAAACAAGCCGATTCAAATTCATAGAATTAAGCTCGAGCTCAACCCGAGGATGCCTCTAATGCAATGAAAAGTTTGATTAAATTTTTATATATTACACTCAAAGTAAATTTAATGATAATGACATTCTTCCTTTGTTGCAGGGCGTGCAAGAAGCAGACAGGACTGCTGAAGGGTTCTATATTCGCTCGGGTATTACAGTTATACTTAAGAATTCAACAATACCCGATGGGTTTGTAATATGAGACTGAAATATTTACCATTTGCAAATAATTGTAAAATATTTGTGGACATAAAGGGCCATTTCATGAATAAATTTATATTGTTTGTAATTTATTCAGTATATATACATTGTTGTTTTGAGCTTTAGAAATTCTTACTAGTGACCAATGGGGCATTTACATACATACCACCCAATTCCTATGTATTTACATTATCTAACGCCTAAATTTTATTTTTTAGAAAATTGAAATGCACCTTTGCATTCATTGATAAGGTGGTATAAATGTAAATATTGAAGTTTAGGTGTTAGATGTGTAAATTAATAGGAATTGAGTGGTGTGTATGTAAATTTTTCTATTTTGAAAGGGCATTTGCATATATTCCTCCAAATTCTTATGTATTTACACATCCAACACATAAATTCAATTTCTTACATTTATGCCACCCAAATCTTTAATAGCACGTCAAAAATACTACTATTTTAACTTTTAAAATGTGTAATGCATCTTTTTATGTATAGTTAAGGTGGTTGCATATATGCAAAAAAATTGTAAGCTTAGGTGTTAGGGAAAAATATTACATCATGACTCCTAACGTAGTGCTATGTTCGGAGTCCACTGATATGCGGACATGTGGCTTTAAGGAAACACACGTCTGGTCTGGTAACACAGAAGAATATTCTCTGTGTTATTTCACGTTCTTTAGGTGTTATTGTGGTGTCATTGATGTATTATTGTGTTGTTATAACACTGAGAAAATTCCCACAACACGATAACACACGAAAACAACCACAATAACACCTGAATAATGTGGAATAACACAGGAAATATTTTACCGCGCTAAAATGATTTTTTTTTTTTCCTATCACCTCCACGTGACGTTATTTCATTGGACTTCAAACGTAGCTCTACGTTAGGAGTCCTAATGTAATATTTTTCCTAGGTGTTAGATACGTAAATACATGGGAATTAATTGATGTGAATTTCATGCTTTGCAACATGCCCCCTATCATTCATTTAAAAATGTGATAAATATGATGCTAAAATGTAATTTGTTTGAATTGCTTGGACCTTAGATTTATTTATGGCAGCTATAGCAATAGGAAAAATAAAACAGTGAAAATATCATAAATCTTTAATTGTGTTAATTGCATGTATACCAGTTAATTTTTTCTTAGTCATATATATATATATATGAATGCAACTATAAATTCAATTTTAATAATCATTAAAAGTACATTAATCCCCAAACATACTTCACAATATCATATACTATAAGATAATACATGTAAATTACAAAGATAATAAATCAATAAGCATCAATTATGTTTAAGTGAAACAAAAAAGATACGAATGACAACCATAAAATAGCCAGACAAGCACAGCCTTGATTTTGAAAGAGAACTCACTACAAACAATTAATTTATTTAAGTTCCATGTTTTTAGATATTATATTTACACGCATACCGCACAAATCTTGTGTATTTACATAACTAATACTGCAAGTTTGCATTTATTACACATTAGCTTTATGAAAATTCACTACTAATACTTGCTATTTACAAATCAGCCACCTTCCATTCATTTCTCAAATTCTCACTCAAATATGAAAATTCATGGCAAAACCCCAACTAGTATTTTACATTTTTATTAAATTCTCAATAATTTGACGGTGGCACACGTAAATACATTCATTCGATAGTTTAAAAAACTCGCCCGATAGCTTAAGTTGTAAATATCAATATTTTGGGGAGTTTGTATGTAATTATCTCAAAATATAAAAACCCCAACTATTATGATACATGTTAGCAGAAAGTGGAGGAAAAAAACCCTCAATACTCTTTAAAATTCTAATTAGATAGTTGATGCTTACAAAGGCATAAAATACAAGGCTCATACTTGTATTTAATAAATCACATATAAATTCCTGAACCTTAAAATATATGTTCCCAACTTTCTAGTAAGATTTTGTACCACGTTATGGGCAGGCAATGAAGGGGGGGGCATTTTACATCAAAATGTGTAGATGTAAATCCATGGAGGATAACACAAATCCCTACAATTTGTCTGACCAAGAAACAAATCAAACTTGGTCTGACAACAAAGATAAGGCATTGACCTTTCCACACATTCTTACAATCTCATATTGACTTTTTGGATGATCTTAGTAGGCCTACAGATTCCGTTTATGTCTTTACCTCGATCCCAACTTCAGAGCAGGATCTGTCGAGAATGTCGGAGATGGGGTCTCAAAATTAAGTTATCTTACCCCTGCAGCCCTCCTTGATTACTACTGCCTGTGTTCTACTTTGCGAAGAAAAAAATGGGTACATGGAAAAGATTTGAGTTATGAAGAACTTCGCTTCGGATATAATCGCCTAAATGTCATCATCTTCGTCCTTCATCGAATTGGGACCATCCTCGAAACCGGTTCCAGGAGCGAGCTCGTTGAGGTCTAAGAATCGCCTCCTCGGTACGCTGCCTTCGTGTACCGGGCTTTCAGCTTTTGCTTGTTGTTGGGATTGGGGTGCTTCACTGGTAGTCTCCTCAACTTGCATGTGATCGATCTTCTCATCATTCATTTCTTCATCTTCTTCTTCGTCGTCGTCGTCGTCCTGTTGTGAACCATGACTAGCGGATGACGGTTCTAGATCATTCATTGCATCTGAGGCGGCATCGGACACATTTGAATTATCTGCCTTTTCAGACTCCGCATCAGTATCTGAAAGTTCGTATTGCTTGTAATTTATTCGTGGTTTCGTCGAGCGTTTGCTTCGCCTGAGTCCGTTCTGGAGTTCATCTACCGATCTCAATTTTGCTCCACGTCTGCTGCGGCTTCGAAGTTTCTTGTGCTGGCGATGCTCGACTGAATCTTCACTGATACTCAGTGAATCTTCTTCGTCATCTTCTTCGTATTCTTCCTCGTCTTCTGCATTATCCTCCCAGTGATACTCCTCATCCCCCTCGGAGCTACTGGAGACCTTCTGCTTTCTATTTCTTAGATATTCGTCGTCGTATACAGCCTCTCCAACTATATCGTCATCGCTGTCAAAATACGCCTCATTTTCTGAAACGGCTTCAACAAATTCCTTTGCAGAATATCGTTGAGGTCTTTTCCTTCTTCGGTTGCTACAATTATCAGAAAAAAATTACATAAATGTCTAGAGATAATAATAATAATAATAATAATAATAATAATAATAATAATAATAAGATGCATTTACATACATATCACACGATTCTTATGTATTTACATATCTAACCTAAACATTCATATTAACATGCATACTACTCGAATCTTCAACATCACATCAAAAATACCACCATTATTACCTTTTAAAAGTGAAAACATCTTTTCATGGATAAGTTTATGGCACAAAAATGTTGTAAGTGAATTGTGTTGTATATATATGTAAATTTCCTTAATAATAATAATAAATCTAGTCCAATATGTAGTGGTGATACCTGCGATCAAGCGGGCTGCTATGGAATTCATCATCGGTCTCCTCATATTCAATGGGATTTGGTGATTGCGCATCAAATGCGTGCTGAGGCGTCGGCGAGTCACCATTCAGCCCGCCATTGGACACCGGTTTGGCAATAGGTTCTCTTTTGTTAGCTTGCTCTGGAGATATTTGCCTTTTCCTACCCAAATCAGATTCACAAGTAAACAACAGCCATAAGGAACTTAAATTATGAAAACAAAAAAAATTATACAATTATTGCGCAATGAGATAATTTACATACTTTGTGATCTTGATAGCCTCATTTATGGATCTATCATAGTCATCTGCAAAAGCATTTGATTGGAATTATAAATGAGATGAGCAAAACTAGACACTCAACCATTAATACAATAAATGCTGTCGAATATGAAATAAGAAAAAAACAGGTATATAAATGCACATATTAAAAGTAAACCAGAATAGGGACCACAGTTCACACTACATAAATGTATGGTTTCGAAATCAGGACTGAATGACTGTAGATAGCAGGATGAATGTGCTAGTAAAGTCTTGTAGATGGCGGCAAAATGTACTCGGTTGTTTCTTATTGATGACCAGTGATGAGGAAAGGTGTAATCGGTTTCAAAATGTACTCGGTTGTTTCTTATAAACAACTTAATAATAAAAAATTCATGTCATGATTTTTCGACAAAATTTACGGTGATCGTCGACTACCTAACGTAACCCTCAATTTTTCACATCCAAGGCTTGGGACCCAGCAATGACAGTGTTATGGAATTAGGTCATATTATGATAGGATCTTGGGATATAGATATTCTCATAGGTAAATTAATGGAATTAGTTGATATTATGATTCATAGAAAAATAAATATCTTATGTATTCAAGAAACTAAATGGGTTGGAGAAAAGGCTAAGGAGATTAATAACTTAGGTTTTAAACTTTGGTATTCATAAATGATTCGCGCTAGAAATGATGCAAGTGTAATTATAGATAACATATTGAAAGATAATGTTATAAAAATTAATAGAATTGGAGATAGAATTATAGCTCTTAAGATTATTGTTGACACTAAGATTTTTAATACTATATATGCTTATGCTCCTCAAGTAGGTTTAGATATAGGTTCTAAAGAAAAATTCTGGAATGACCTAAAAAAATTAATACAAATGATAACACTTAAGAAAGAATTTTTGTTTGAGGTTATTTAAATGGACAAGTCGGTAGAGTAGTAGAAGATTTTAGAAATATTCATTGTGGCTACGGTTTTGGAGTGATTAATGAATATGGTAGGGTCATATTAGATTTTGCTTTAGCGTATGATTTTTTTATTGTTAACACTTTATTCGAGAAAAGAGAAAAGTCTGTTATTAATTATAAGAATAGATCTAATAAAACACAAATTGCTTATTTTCTCATGAGAAGAAGAGATTGTCGAGAATGCATAAATTATAAGATCATTCCAAGTGAGGATTTAAGTACTCAACATCGATTATTAGTTAAAAATTATTTTTATGAATAAATTTTAAGATTTGGGATGCTTGAGAAAAATAAATTCAATGTGGGATATAAGAACAAACACCATAACAAGTGACAAAAAAATGTACTCGGTGAATCAAAAGAAAAAGTTTCAAAAAATAAAAATAGTTTGTGGAGAAATAATAATGTGCAAGAAAAGATAAAATATAAAAAGTTATGTTATAAAATTAGTTTAAATGTAAAAGCTTACAGAACAAAGAAAAATATAAAATGGACCGTATAGAGTCTAAGAGAACAATATGTGACGCTAAAAATCTTGTTTTTGGGGATCTTTATAATAGATTAGATACTAAAGCAGATGAAAATATAAGTATAAACTAGCCAAACAAAGAGAAAAGATAAGTAAAGATTTAATTCAAGCAAAGTGTATTAAAGATAAAATCAAAAAGTATTTTTCTCAGATAAATATTCAACATAAGTAGGTGAGTTATTTTGATGAACTTTTGAATGAAGCTTTTAAAAATATGAACGACCTTAGTGATCTTAATATCGTTAATAATAATAAAATATTTTATTTTTTTATCGTAACATAGTAAAAAAAAAGTTGATGAGTCTTTAAAGAAAATTAAAGGTGGAAAGTCTATCAAACTTGATGAAATTCCAATTGAAGTGTGGAAATATTTAGAAGATTTCAGAGTTTCTTTGCTTTCTTACTAAACTCTTTAATATTATTTTAAAAACTAAAAAGATATTTGAGGAGTGGAGAAAGAGTATGTGAGTCCTCATTTTTAAGAATAAATAGGATGCAAGAGAGTGTGCAAATCATAAAGAAATAAAGTTGATGTGTCATACTTTAAAATTATGGGAGAAGATAATTGAATATAGGTTAATACATATTACAAAGACTTCTCATACTCAATTTGGATTTAGGTCGGGCAGGTCTACTATAGAAGCTATACATTTATTGAGAGCTTTGATGGAGAAGTACAAAAAAAATAAGGAGGATCAACATATGATTTTTTGATGATTTAGAAAGATCTTACGATAAGGTTCCAATAGTTATCCTTTGGAGAGTTTTAAAGAAAAAAGGTGGTGATATGACTTATATTAAAGTCATTAAAGATATGAATACTACAACTGCTACTTGTGTTCGACAAAAGGAGGATTGACCAAATATTTTCCTATTTCATGTTGGATTACATCAGGGGTCGATTTTAGGCCCATATATTTTGCTTTAGTTATGGATGCTCTTACTAGACATTTACAAGAGAATGAACCTTCGTGTATGCTTTTCACCGATGATATCCTTCACGTGGCTAAGACTAGAAAAAAAACTCAAAAAAAGTTAACTTATGGATGTTTAAATTGGAGTCTAAAGGCCTTCATTTGAGTGGAACTGAAACTGAATACATAGAATGTAATTTTAGTAGTGGTAGCTCTAGTGGCATAGTCATAACTATGGGTGATCAAATTATTAAAAGGTGTGAACACTTTAGATATCTCGGGTCTATTGTTCGAAGTTATGGTGAGATAGACCGGGATGTTATCAGTAGAATTCAAGTTGGTTAGTTGAAGTGGAGGAATATTTCGGGCCAATTGTGTGAAAGAAAAGTATTGCTTATTAGATGGTGGTGAAACCTGCAAGGCAATATGGCGGTGAATGTTGGCCTTTAAAAGAGAAGCATAAAGCTAAGTTAAGTGTTGTTACACTTAGAAAAAAAATGCGAAATGAATACATTTGTGATAGGGTTGGTGTAGCTCCAGTGGCGGACAAAATTCGAGAGAGTTGTCTTAGTTTGTTTGGTCACATTAAATGTCAACCATCTGATGATTCGGTTAGAAGAGTAGATGTTTTAAATTCGACTTAGACTTGGGCATATTGTATGAAAAATGATCTTAATCTATTAGAATTAAATGAAAATATTACACTCAATAGAACGCAATGGAGACGAAGGATTCATGTAGTCGACTCCGCTTAGTGGGATAAAGGCTTGTTGTTGTTGTTCTTGTTGAATAACCTAATAATAATTAAAAATGTCCTCATGATACACTAACTGATACTAAAAATAGACTGATGATTGAGGATTAAAATAAACTTTGATTACAACAAGTCCATTGAAAAGTAAAGAATTATCCTCCATCAAGTTGAAATATGACAGAAGAAAGAATTAAAATTTCCAAACTCACAGAGTGACAGCTTTCCAAAATAACATAAACATATGAAAAATTCATCCCAAAGAAAAAGTCAAAGGGTGAAGACATCACTACCATTACCAATATCAACAGAGCTCTTCAGCAATCTTCAAAAGCATAGCCACAATTCAGAAAAAAATAATAATTAAAGCTTAGAAGTCTTAATACATACTGCTACCAATTTGATCTACCTAAATTAGTGGCCAATTAAAACTATTCTGAACGGAAGTGGATGCAAGTAGAGATCAAGTTCTCTCTCTCTCCCCCTCCCTCCCCCTTTCTCTCCCTCCCTCCCTCTTTTGGATTTGTGAGAGACTCTAAAAGAGTTAAATGACGAAAGCAATCTAGAGTGAGACGTGGGTGAGCAGTGTCTTGCGAATGATATAATGTAAGTAAGCATGCTCAAGATTGCGAGTGAAATAGGGTATATGGATGTGAATGATATTATGGATAATGCATTGCATACGTAAGTTTCATGAGTTCAAGGTGGTGGTACAAATGAATTAAGTCGCTATAGAAATTAAGAAATACTAATAAAATTTATTTTTAATAAAATTAAAATTAGTTAAGGAAATTGTAGCGATTGTGTGGTTAGTGTCCATAAAAAAAACTTTCGAAGAGATATCATCGGTTCCAAAGGACTGATAGGAAAAGGACATGATCATGAGTGGAGAAAGGAGCAACACCAATAAAAGAGTAGGCGGTAGGAGTTGGTGGAATTGGAAGGAAGCAATGAGAGCAAAGGTGAGGCAAGGAAATCCTAAGCAGAGCGGTGAACATCATTACAAGAGTAGGCCAAAGTAGAAGAAGAATGCTAGGCATTGTTAAGTAGAATTGTTTAGGTAAGATGTAGTCATAGAAAAATTTAAGAATGTGATGATCTTTTTAACAACAATGTTTTTGCTTAATATTTTTGCTTTAATACCAAATTGAGAATGAGTAAAACTCACGAAATGATGAGATGGTAGTTTTTCTTTTTTTTTTTTTAATCGCCAAGGGAAGGAATTTGGAGAAGAAGTAGAAAGAAAAAAATAAAGAAAAATAGAGTAAAGAATATTAGACAAACAAATTACTGAAAAGAAGCGAGGTAAAAAATAGAGATAAAAATATGAAGAGACCACGTCATTAGCGGAAGGGAGGAGGTTCAACCAAGAGAGAGCATGCAAAGGTAAAAACACTTCTCTGTTCATCTTCAACTGCTTAAATTACAAGATTGTAAGAGCTTATTGAAAATGATAAAAGTACCCCTAAAAAACATATAATTATACACAATGTAGTTTGTTGGAAACATAAAAACCTTTATTTTTATCTATAAATATAATTATGCACAATGTAGTTTGTTTCCACACCTTAAGATGTCATCTAATGCTCTCATAGTTTGTTTCCACGCCATAAGAAGTCATCAAATGCTCTCAATTGGTGATATTGTATCAACAATTTTTAAATGATTACCTAACCATAAGTATATTCCAATAATCACGAAGAAGATAAGAATTGGTGCAGTAGTACACTAAAAAAAAAATTGGAAGAAATCAACGACCTTGAAAATCTCTTTTAAAGAAAGGTCATGTTTTATAGAATATACAACCAAGTTGTAAGAATGATGCTGAATTGAGCTAAAATTACTCTGACTATCTAAGGCAATCATTAAAT